CCTGCCAGGGCATCGCGGAGACCTGCAGCCGGCCGCGGGCGCTGTGCCAGGGAGGGAGCTGGGCGCCAGGCCTGGAGAGCCAGTCCCAAGTGAACCTGACCGTCACCCAACCACACCGACCGCGGGGCTAAGACCAGGGATGCTCCTTCGCACTTGGGCGGCTGGGAGACCACTTCGGGACCCAGCCTCCACCATGTAAGAGGTAATTGGGATTTCCAGTGGGACCCCCGGGGTCTGCCTGCTCCTGCGGACCCCTCTGCGGGTGCGGAGCTGCAGAGGGCATGGTCTGGTAGCACCCCGCTTGGGTGACCACCACACGCACGCAGGTAAAGACCAGGGATGCTCCTTCGCACTTGGGCGGCTGGGAGACCACTTCGGGACCCAGCCTCCACCATGTAAGAGGTAATTGGGATTTCCAGTGGGACCCCCGGGGTCTGCCTGCTCCTGCGGACCCCTCTGCGGGTGCGGAGCTGCAGAGGGCATGGTCTGGTAGCACCCCGCTTGGGTGACCACCACACGCACGCAGGTAAGCGGACTCAGCTCTGACCTGAGCGCCTGGTCCAGGCTCATCCCCGTGAAGACGAAGAACTTCAGGTACTCCCCTGCCACCATCCTGCTGAAAAGAAAAGGGGGAGGAGCAAGAGTGGGATCGACCAGACGGTGGGGACAGCAAGAGGCACACAGGGGTGGATTCCCAGAGGCTGGGAGCTCCCCAGGGCTGCGGGAAGCGTGACACCCCACACTCCCGTGAAACTCGGAAGAGTCAACCACAGATCCAGTGGGAATACTGGGAATGTAAGAGAAACCAGAGGAGCCAGAGCTGGAAGGGCCCACGAGAGGCCAGCGACCTGCCCCCCTGCCCCGACGCCTCACTGAAGCACCCAGGGTGCAGTCATGGCAGGAAGGTACCAAAGCCAGGATGTCTCTTAGGTCGTCACCGAGCTGACGAGCACGCGGGCTTGCTTCCAACACACGCACACGGGCGGTTTCTTACCCTCCGAAGAGATGGCGTGGGGATTACACTCGTAATAGCGCTGGGAGAAATGAGCCAGCACTCGCTCTCGCTCTTGCGTCTCTCCCATCAAGGCCAGCTCCTTCAGAAAGGACCTGAAGAAGCAGCAGCCGCACTGGTCACACCTGAAGCCCACCAGCAGCTCCCCCAACCCACCC